TGTTGGGAAAAAACGAGATGATTTTCCGAACAACCCTATATTTTCTATTCTATTACTCTTTGTTATATCTTCTCATTTCTAACTCTATGATGATGATAATAACAATATAATATAATAGTATTTCATTTAACATACAAGTAATATTCAATGTACAGTTTCTCATTTTTAATTTTAATTTTTGTCGTTTAGCAGTCTGATAAGCTATAATAATAAGAAGAAATACCTAAAAATTTTAATGTACAATACTTTTAAACTAAGTTATTTATAAGATTGACATTCTGTTTTACAAAATCGCAATAATGGGTACGCATTTTTTTCAGGTGTTTGGTTCACCGAGTACTCCAGTTTTGGAAAACCCAGAATACCAAACCAGATGGTATTTTAAGTATTTCTTGGGAAAATGTAAGTAAATTTTATTTATATATACAGTACTATATAAATGCTTATAATCAATATCATACACAGACAAAATCTTTCTTAATGTTCGTCTATAATCTTTTACTTTTCTTTTTCCTCCTTCGGTTTTGTCTTATCTCAATTCTCCTTTCTTCTTTTCGTCTTTTTAAGTTTTTACTCAAGGCGCTACACAGAATGTACGTAATGAAGGCTGAAAATAATAAGTACGGTTCAATGATAAGAAACTTCAACTAGATATTTCGTCTAAATAAATAAAAAACCATAGATAACAGTATCTATACATTGTTAAATGGACAAATCTTTAAAGGAAAATCTGATTGACTTTTTTTCAAAATTGCGAGAACCAGTTGAGATGAAAACAGCCTACCGAGCCGCACGTGGTTGTTACAATTTTCCTCTACAAAACTCCATTAACACATTCGTTTTTCGTAGTCGTGAAAATGGAATTGTGTATATGAGCGCAGTTTCAATACGGTTAAAGCGGAGCGCAATAATCGAACTTTCAACAGCAAAAAAAATGTGAATTGTGTACGTATGTAGATGCTTTTTATCGTTTTAAAGCGATTTATATACGACAGAGATACTGCTGATGTAGCAGTACCGTGAATTGTAAGATAGTAAGAAATTTCGGAAAAAAATGCGTAGCTCCTCGCAGGGATTAACCAGTTTTTGTGACCGACGAAAAACATTGAACGTAGGTGTACGATTTTATTCGGGATAATCAGAATTAGTGAAGAATATTTGGTGGATGAGCTGGTTACTTTAATCAATCAATTATCAGACCACAATGGTTACGAAATACGAAGAGGATCTATGTAAGCTATAGTTTAAACCTATTCTGCACCCGCTATATCTTTCGGATTTGGCTTCGTCCGACTTCTACGTCATATCTCATCTCAAAAAGAAATTTAAAGGCAATCATCACACGGGGTCGGAACAGGCGGACTCGCAAAAAGCGGAATCAAAACTTTCTATTCTTAGCAGAACTATTAGGTACCACCATAAATTTTAACTGAAAAAAGCAAAACAAATGGTTACGTTAGGATCATAAAGCTATGGTAGGCTAAAACAATCAGAATTTAATAAGAAAAAAAAGTTAAGATTAAAATTTAGGTCCACTTTTGCCCTCTTTCATCCATAATCCTCATTACACCACCGACCATAAGGGGAAGGCAAATATGGTCAGTCCGGTTTGAAAGAGATCATCAGAATTATTTAATGTCGGAATACACCCGTAGGAAAAATTTCCATTGAAATTCAATGGGAATCAATGGAAAATTTGTAAATTCCATTCAAAACCATTTGGCATAAATGGAAAAATAATTGTTTCCATTTACAATATAATTCCTGGTCACATATACTACTAGCCTTTTTCGATACAGTTTTTGCTTGTCCAGGTGCAAGAGTAGTGATATTGCCAATTAGGTGGTGGAAAATCAATAATCTAGTTTTACCTATGCGTGCATGTTGGGGGTACGTGAGGGACCACCACTGCAGTAGAGTGAGAGACAAGCAAGGTAGTAAGATGTCTGATTAAAACGGTATATTTCATTTAGACGTTGAGCATTTTTGCTCAAAAAAGACGGAAGAAGTATTTATGGTGACTACACGAAGACGTATGTATTTTGGAAAACGCGATACATTGAATATTGTATATAAGTTGTATATATTTAGTTTTTGTTTGTTACTCGTTTTGCTGTTTGCTGTTTATATTCATTATTATGTTTATTATATATGTATTCAACTATCAGGAGCCTTTTATTAAACAACCCCTAGACAAGTAAAAAAGCCTACATTAGAAGCATTGTTTAATGATTTTGAACCATGCCAGAATATAGAGGAGGCCGAAGTTATCTGTGAGAGTGATGTAGTTTTATCAGAAGCAAGTGAAAAAAAAATCTAAACACAATGATGAAGAGCCAGACATCCAGGCACGTGCCTTGGTTCAGGTACCTGAAGAACCAAATTCTCAACAAAATAATATGGCTTATGGAAAAAAGCATGCTGATGAAGTTCCAATGGAACGCAATGGGATTTCCATTGAGTAACGCAATGGAAATTCCATTGAGTTCAGC